GAATAAGCACAACCGTCATGTTATGTCCCGATCGAATTTTTCACATGCTCTATTCCCTTTATGAGGAATTTATACAGTGGAGCATTTCACTTCGTCACCAGTGACATCCTAGGTAGTTGAAGATTTGAATAAAATTTACGTATATTAAAATAATTTATGCATTATTAAAGTCATTAAAAGAAGGCAAATTGTGATACGAATATCTTACCGGATAGAAAGAACTTCGAGCGGTCTTCAAGCAGATAATAAAGATGGAAAAGTTCGAGCGTGGGTCCCAAGAGAATAGAAAAGGAGATTAGGGTTTTGATATTTCTTTTTTATTTCAGAATAACGGGGAAAGATTACAATATATAGCTAGTAAGGTTACGTTAGTTGACCTAATGGGCTTGGGCCCATACTAAACCCTAACCAGGATTAACTATATAATAATAAAGAATACTAATTACTACCTCCGTTTCTCAAAAGAGTTCCTCTTTTGACTTTGGGGGAAAATAAGGAAGTGTTAAATTGTAGTTGACTTTCCAATTTTGCCCTTGATGTGATGGGTAAAAGTAAGATGTGATAGTTTAGTTGTTAGTGAAAAAGTATGATGTGATAGGTAGGGTATGAAAAAGTAGGGGTAAAAGTGGTTTTTTAATAGAAAGGAGAAGTGTTTTAAGAAAAACAAAAAAAAAGAGGAAGAGTTTTAAGAAACGGAGGGAGTAATAAATAATACTCCCTCCGTTCTAAAAAAGAGTTCCTAGTTTGACTAAGTACTGTAAAAATAAGGAATTGTTAAATTGTACTCCCTCCGTCCCATGAAACATGAGAGTTTTGCTTTTTAGGAGGGATTTAAGGGGAGTGTATTTTGGTATTGAATTTCCAAAAATGTCCTTTGATGTGATGGGTAAAAGTATGATTTGATGGATATATTATTAGTAAAAAGGTATGATGTGATAGTTAGGGTATGAAAAAGTAAGGGGTAAAAGTGACTTTTTAATAGAAATGAGAAGTGTTTTGTGGACGGATAAAAAAGAAAAGAGAAAGATTTTATGGGACAGAGGGAGTAGTTAACTTCCAATTTTGTTCTTGATGTGATGGGTAAAAGTAAGATGTGATAGATAGATTATTAGAGAAATTAAAAAGTATGATGTGATAGATAGGGTATGAAAAAGTAAGGGTTAGGAATTGTTTTTGAGAACAGAGAGAGTTTAACTAATCTATTTTCATAATATTCCCACCCCCTTAACGATTGGAGAGATAATGCTAAACCAAAGGAACAATCCACTCTTGGAATCTTCAACCATCTTGGCTCATGCAGCAAAGTGATGGAAATATGAGACAAGACACGTAGCATATATGTATTTGCTCTTGGTGAAACTAGGTGCTCCGTCTTGACCACATCGACAATGCCAAATAACATGAGTTTGTCCACTCGCTTATTATCTGCATTTGCCATCTTGACGATACTTGCTAGAACCTCGTACTCTGTAATAGTCACCCTAACAGAGTCTTTTAGTGGTACATATAATTCATGGGGTGTAGAATCTGATTAGTAAGATGGCTCGTCAGTTTGAATAGTAGCACCATCATTTTCATCAATAGCACCCCCATGCATAATCGCCAACAATGCCAGACCCGCTATAATCATCCTCTTTGTTTTGAGATTCCTTGCTTGATTCTTTTGATCCATCTATGTCCTCCACAATGGGGACGGGGATCGGAGTGTGGTGGCGACTTTCACCATGTAGACAAATGCGTCTCTAGCCTTCTCAGATGTCTTCTCGAAACAAATATACTCAAAATCATGTAACGGAGCAAATCGGATTTTGAACTTTTGAACAAAATCCTCCCAACCATCAATCAAGCCACCACTCATGCGCCAATTAAACCATACCAAGACAGAGCCCTCTAACATTGATGCCACACGGTGTAACGACAAACTTAACATTACGAGGGATTTTAAACGTGATTTCACCTATGGCATGTGCCACGCACATACACTAGAGAATATCATACAAACATACATTCAAACATACAAACATGTATAATGAATAAAGCGTGACATGGTTGTGGCCTCCTAAAGAACTAACGATAAAGCCTTCACTTGATATCTCTATTTCTAGCTTCACCTTGTTTCTTTAAGAGTGCTTGAGCCTTCAAGTTCAGCCTTTCTTGCTAATATCCTCTTCTTCTTGGCTCCTTCATCTTCCTTGCTTCTTCATGAACTTCTTTGTTTTTAATCGAGAGAATAGAATCCTTGCTTTGAAAGTAAGGGGTATGAGGTTTGAGAAGTGATTTACAATCAGAATTGACTGGCTTGTTATCAAAGAAATAGTAGCTTTTCTTCAATATTTCCTCAGTAACTTCCATTCTACCAAAATGAACCACAAATTGCCCAGGTTTGAGCATAGTAATGTCCAGAATATCTGCCTGTTCCCATATCCTTTTAGCGAAACCTTCAACCACCTCAATGGGAGGATTTGCACCTAGGATACACATCGGTATTGCAGTTTCCCAGTAAGTGGATGCTTCCATTGTATCATCCTTCGTCATCTTTGCAATTTTACAACCATTATGTTCAATAGCAGCAACAAAATGCACTTTACAATCCAGTTCCTCTTTATCACCCACTGCTTCAGCATAAGATTTAGGAGGTACCTGTAATCCCTCATCTGGCGGTTCTCGCAACGGCTCTTCCTCAACTTCTATCTGTCCGTCTTTCTCCATATCCCCTTTTTCTTAGTCTCTCAATGTCTCCTTTTTTCCTGAATCTTCTGATGCGGTACGAACTGGCGTGTTCATTTTTCTTGAGCTATTCGATTGAGTATTTGTAGATGGTGAATTGTCTGGTTTCGTTTTCTTCCCCGGTCTCCCCCTTTGCCGTGACATGCTTAGAGAGAGAAACCTCCAATTTGATTACTCCCTTTGTCCCTAAAAGATTGTCACAATTTGATTTTTTTGGTCAAACTGTGACACTCTTTGCCTACGAATTAAATTTAGTTTAAAATAATTAAATATCATATAAAAAATTAATATTTCAAAACTATATTTTAAAATAAATTTAGTTTTACTGATTTTACATTATAACAAAATATTTTTTTTCTACGGAGTATAATTCACTGTCAAAAAGTGTCACAGTCTAATAAGAAAAGTCAAATCGTGACAATTATTTAGAGACGGAGGGGTAATGGACTATTAAATGCTTTTAGATACATTTGGAACATGTACCCACGTTTGGAATCCATGATTAGCATCACACTTACGACCTTAGTCTCCGCTAATTAAGAGTTTTTGAGAATAAATTAAAGATATGTCTTCATGTTTGTACTTTAGTAGTCAAGACTCGAGACTAGAGGCAGTTTGTGATGCTCCCTAGCTACGTAAACTACTAGTTATTGCATGCAGCTACAAAAAATTAATTAAAATTAATTACAATAAAAAAATCTCAGAATAATCGTAATTAATTATTATCTGAGGCACTAAATAAAATTCCGTTTGCACTATATAAAAAAATTAAACTCGGTGTAGTATTAACTATTAACTATTAATGAAAATGGCATTTGAAATATGGATGGGTAGGGATTTTTTTTCTCTAAAAAATTTTAAATCTTTTATTCAATGAACTGTCATTTTTCTCAATTTTTTAAAAAGTTACCAGCACGTCCTTATTTCCTCATATTTCTTCTACCAAATAAGACACTTAACTCCTAGCTTAATCTCAGTTTTTTACTTCCTCCGTCTTATAAAATTCTCATTTTAACTTTTGGAAAATTTAAGAGAGATATTTTTGTGTATATTTTCCAAAAATATCTTTGATGTGATATGTAAAAGTAAGATATTATTAGTAAAATTTATGATGTAGTAGATAGGTTAAAATCGTCAAATGAGTTTTTTAAATTGAAACAAGAATTACTTTGTGAGAAAGAAAAAAAGAATGGAAAAGAAGTTTTTGGGGCATAATTAATAACGTTCCCATGCAATTTTTTCCTATTCCTTTCTATTTCTAATGTCCACATAAAAAAGAGATCAGAATAAGTGCCCATAAAAATATTCCCAGCAAACATTCAATAATTTAAGGCTTTGCGCGCGTCATGCTTGAACTCATATTCTCACCTAGTCATGTCAGAATACACAGAATCATTGTTGAAATTTCAACGTTATTCAACAAGGCGCGCTCTTGGAAACATTGATCATATGTACTTCCTATAATGATACTCCCTCCTTCCCGATATAATTTCCTATAACTAAATTTAGTTGAATTTATTTTTAATCAAAAATATAAATTTCAAAAATAAGATTTATATATTTGAAAATTTAATAAAAAAAAACTTCAAAAGACAAGAGATATCGCGACTAGCGCGCTATTTTATATTAAGAAATAAGTAACGAAAACAAATAAGGAAAGTACATAAAATTTGGCTACATGAATGGTGATCGTGAGTAATTCATGTATTCATTCTCAAGATCCCATCCCATACACCTACACCAGATCAAAGTCCTCAGGCGAGACCAAGATGCTACATTACAAAAAAAAAAAATTAGACCCAGCCTGCCAGGACTCGCATAACAAGCCTAACAATTGAAGTTCGAGCCGGATCCGCATGGATACCGACGGACTTTGGGTCAATCCGATCCTTAAAGCAACAAATTCTAAATAATTAAAAAGTATTTTTTAGATAAAGTAATGCGTTAATATATTTTATAAATACATAGTAGATGTTTGATACAATAACTATAATGATTATATGAAAGAATGACAATTGATATGATATTGTTACTACGGAGTACAAAGTATTATTTATTTAAATATTATTATCAATGTGTGATACGGAGTAAATAAATTAGAGTGATTAAGACGTATTTATTTTATTAAATATACTTGTAATTCTCTTTTTTTCTCCAAAGAAGTATGTATGTGTGTTTATAATAAATTGAAATGGTATTGTTATTTTTATTACTATTAATATTAATGTTGTTATTATTATTTTTTTAATTATATTATATATTCAAGCTGGGCCCATTTTTGGGCTTGAGCATAAAAACTGAGTCCAACACTAAAGCATACGGGCACCATTTATAAAACCCGAGCCCAGCCGGTACCCTAAAATGTCGAACCTAAACCTACTATTTTACGGATGGCCTAATGCAGGCGGGCGGGCGGGCCGGGTACCCGGTGTGTGTGTGTGTGTATATATATATATCAGTCAGGTTCTAGTGACACCGGAAAACGGTGCCACTCTGGTGCCACTGGGTTTTTGGGGCACCTCCGACGCTCCGTTCGTAAAATTGACGGTTCCTACCCCCCTAACCCACCCCCTAAACCCCCCACCCTACCCCA